ATACCAAGGATTTTTATTGACTCACTTCCTCCCACATGAAGTCAAAAGGATTCCTGTTCTGAGACGTCGGAGTCTGGGCCAGTCCCTCGCTCTCCGCGTCCTCCCCTTCGTCAGACAGGAGGTCCTCCTTGATAATAGGCTGACCTTGACTCAGACGTCGTCCTCGGTGCAGTGAGGAAGTCCCACTCTTCGGCGACTCCGTCTGGATATCGAGAGTCAAGTGCTGTCTGCTGAGGAGGTTCTGCTGCTTGCTCGGGGCGCCCGGCTGACTCCCCGTCGACGCCCTCTTGATCAGCTGTTCCTTCTGGGTAAAGGACGGCCTCGGGGGGCGCGTCGGGGTGCTGAAGAGGCCGAGGTCGCCGTCGTCGAGGTGCTGAGAGAACGTCTTGTCCCAGCACATGTCCTCCTGGTCGGTCGGGTCCTCCAGTGTCGTGATGTTCCCAAGGAGGTAAGACATCTTGGGAGGAAAGCGTAGGATTGTAGGGAGGATTTCGCGCTTGACATGGTGGTCTAGATATAAGGTATATATTTTGTATTTGTTGTGTTTGTTTGTCCTTTTCTTCCGCTGAATAATGGCTTCCGAATAAATTGATATATATAAGGTGTATACGTACGTAATTCTCTATCAAGAAGATGAAGAAATTACCTCCAATAGAAAATATAAATAGTAATACTACTCTCGAATTTAAAAAAGAAACAAAAAACACAAACAAAAATCTAAAAGACACGCCCACAACACCTAAATAAAAAAATAAAAAGAGATTTTTTTTTTAATCCACCACACCTCAAGATGGCGATCAAGAATCTTATCCATCTCGAAGTCGTCGTCATCTTCTCCGAAAGGGTTGACGAGCGACTCGGCCACCTTGAGCCAGCCCATATAGAAGAAAAATTGCAACAAGGTGAACACTGGCACGAAGAAATCAATGGTCCGGTTGCTATAGTTCTGCGCGGGGTCGAGGAACTGGCGACCCAAGACGGAGAAGAAGAAGAAGGAATACACAGCCATAGTCACCACCTGAGGGAGGGAATCGGACACGATGTTGATGAGGTATGTTATTAATAGAAATAAGGATGATAGTGATGCTGATGATAAAGATAGTAATAATATTAATGAAAATAATGATAATGATAATAATAACAATAATAATAATAATAACAATGATAGTAATAATAATAATAATAATAACAATAATGATAATGATAATGGTAATGATAATAATAACAATAATAATAATAATAGTAGTAGTAGTAGTAGTAGTAGGCATAATAGTAACAACAATGGTAATAGTGATAATGGAAATAATAATGAAAAAAATCTATGTATCAAGTCAATACTTAGAACGACCAATTAATTAGCTTCCGTTAATAACATCAACAACAATACCTATCATGTATGTTGACTGGCCATATCTCTCACATATAAATGACAGATTACCAAATACGAAGGTGGGTCACACCTCATATATTATTAAACACGCTAAGACTGTCAAATCATTTTCAAATTACTATTATCACAGATCATTATAAGCGATTACTGAACCCGAAAATAACGGTCTGGTCTTCAGCATACCTGCGTGTACACCAAAGGGATGCTGATCTCCGTCCAGCGCAGCAGCATCCCGCTCTTGTTCCTCAGACTACCCAGTTCCTCCAGCAGGAGCTTCACCCCAAAGTCGTCCTTGATGTAACCCGCGGTCCTGGCTCGCTCTACCAGCTTGCACGCCCACAGGAGAGGCAGGAACACCACAGGGACCCTGGACTTCGATCCCTGTGCCTCCAGAATTCTCATTTCGTTGGATGTCATGTATCCTGAGGTCGGGGGGGGGGGGGAAGATTATACGTTGAGGAGAGGGTGTGGGTGCGTGTGGGTTTGTGGTTAGGGTGGGTGTGGTGTGGATATGTTAGGGGTGTTAGTGGGGAAGAGATGTGGGGGGAGGAGGAGAAAGGGAGGAGTAAAAGAGAGAGAGAGAGAGAGAGAGAGAGAGAGAGAGAGAGAGAGAGAGAGAGAGAGAGAGAGAGAGAGAGAGAGAGAGAGAGAGAGAGAGAAGTTGGGAGGAGGAGAAATAAAGAGAGAGGAAAAGGAGAAACAAAAGAAGATAAATAAGAAATAGATGAAAGAGGGAGAAAGAAAAGGGCAAAAACAAGAGAGAGAGAGACAGACAGACAGACAGAAGTTGGGAAGTGGAGAAATAAAGATAGAGAGAATGGGGAGAGGTGAAGAGGACACAAGGGGGAGGGGGGGGGGGAATGAGACGGTGGGGAGAGGTGAGGGAAAAAGTGACGGGTGCGAAGTGGAGAAAGAGGAAGAGCGGATGATGAGGAGAGGAGGGAGAGAGAGAGAGAAAGAGGATGGAGGGGGAGAGACAGACAGACAGACAGACAGACAGACAGACAGACAGACAGACAGACAGACAGACAGACAGACAGACAGACAGACAGACAGACAGACAGACAGACAGACAGACAGACAGACAGACAGACAGACAGACAGACAGACAGACAGACAGACAGACAGACAGACAGACAGACAGACAGACAGACAGACAGACAGACAGAAGTTGGGAAGAGGAGAAATAAAGATAGAGAGAATGGGGAGAGGTGAAGAAGACACAAGGGGGAGGGGGGAGAATGAGACGTTGGGGAGAGGTGAGGGAAAAAGTGACGGGTGCGAAGTGGAGAAAGAGGAAGAGCGGATGATGAGGAGAGAAGGGAGAGAGAAAGAGCGGATGATGAGGAGAGAAGGGAGAGAGAAAGAGCGGATGATGAGGAGAGAAGGGAGAGAGAAAGAGCGGATGATGAGGAGAGAAGGGAGAGAGAAAGAAAGAGGAGGAGAGTGGAGAGAAATTAAAAGAGGAGAGAGACAGAACTATTTGATTCCACATATAAATCTGCCCGAAGGAACGCATTTTGAAATTTAAAAAAATATATATATATTAATAGTAATAATGACGAATAAATAAATGACCAGCTTAACAAACAGTATCCAAATCACAACCCATAAAACAACCACAACTGAAAATAGTAATAATAATCAGCGTACAAGGTAATAATCTCTCATTATTGGACTTAATTAAATAATATTCAACTATAATTAAGTTAATATTTCTCAACTCACCAACTTCTTTCAGATCCTTATAAGAAGGAAATTTTTTCTTGACCGTCGGGGAAATTTTGGCGAAGATCAGAGCGCAGTTTAAATTCACGTATCTTAGCATCGTTGATCTTATCAGGCGTGGGGGTCCGTTCTGAAATCGTAAAAAAATGGCTTAGTTTTTTTGTTTTCAATTTATTCTATATTGTTTAGTTTTAATTACGTGGTTTAATGGGCTGTTTAATGATGACGGTTGATATTTTTAATTCATTGTTTATCTTGTGCAAACGGGGATTTTAACTTTAAACTCGTCAACAATTTCGTCTTATATGACTTTCCAAGCAATTAAATTTTCACTTTGCTGAATTCCATCTCATTGCACAACTTTCCATGCAATTCAATATCAATTTCAACATTTTCCAAGCAAATTAGTTTCGATTTTAAAAAACCTATCAGATGGCATAAATAACATGACATAACTATCCAAGAGATTCTATTTTAATTTTCACATGACACGGATTTCTATCTCGTGACATAATTTTCTGAGCTATTTGATTTCAAAGTCATAACTCATCATATCTCAATATATAACATTCCACTCATTTTAATATCAATTTCAAAACTTATTACATGAATTCTATCATAATTTTCCAAGCAAATCAATTTTCGCACCACTTAATTTTATTTTCATGACATAACGTTCCAAACAATTCAGTTCAAATTTCAAAATCCTATCAAATGAATTCTTATCTCATGACACAACATTTCCAAGCAGTTAATTCTCCATTTTAATTTCAGAAATCATCACGTGAATTTCCCTTTAATTACATTACATTCCACGCGATTAATTCTGCATTTCCATTTCAGGTTTTCACATCAAATAGATTCCTAATCACACCACACAACATCCAGCCTTATACCATCTAACCCCTTAATAATTTCCAGCATCTACCCACTTACCCACTACCCACTACCCACCCACTACCCACTACCCACCCATCCACTACTCACCCACTTCCCACTACCCACCTATCCACTACTCACCCACTTCCCACTACCCACCTATCCACTATCCATTCACTACCCACATACTACCCACTACCCACCCACTACCCACTACCCACCCATCCACTACCAACCCTCTCCCCACTACCCACTACTCACAACACACACACTACCCACCCACCCTCTCCCCACTCCCCACTCGGAGAACCGACCTGGCCACTGATATAAGAAGAGCAAAAGAGAGCGAAGTTATCGGGCCACGGGATAGACAGGTACTGCTCCCACCACCTCTGCACCACGACGCTCACGTAGAAGCCCAGGACGAAGGAGATGGGGATGAGGTTCCTGAAGTAGTCGCAGTAGAGGGAGAGGTGTTCGAAGATCCTGTAGTGGCGAAGGAAAGGAAGTTTGTGAGGCAAAGAGTAAGTTTGAAGTTCGTTGAGGCAAAGAGGTGTTTTTTTTGTGTGTGTGTGTTTGTTTTACAATGTGTTTATTTATGTTTTTTATTTGTGTGTTTTTTTTATACATATTTTATTTGTACTTTTATTAATATGTTTATTTTTCTATTTTGGTGTGGGTTTGTTTGTGTTTTTATTTCTGTGTTTGCTTTAGTTATTATTTTTTTTATTTTATTGGTATGTTTATTTATATCATTATTTACATGGCTAATATGAAATATGTTTATTCATACTTTTATGTTTATTTTAATATATGTTTATTTATACTTTTATTTACATGCTTTTACATGTTTATTTTATAACACGTTTATCTATACTTTTGTTTATAGGTTTGTTCTCTCATAGGCCTATTTAAAGAGTGATAATATAAACACAGCCTATCTCAATGACCCATTTTATAAACTTACCAAACGGATATTTGCATCCCAAGCAAAAAACATCTTATTGCAGTAAAAAATATAAACACATTGATCCATTTCATTTTCTTACCAAACGGATATTTGCATCCCAAGTAAAAAAAAATCTTATTGCAGAAAAAAATATAAACACATTAATCCATTTTATTTCCTTACCAAGCGGAAATTTGCATCTTATTGCAGAAAAAAAAATATATATATAACAAAAAAGGTCCTTTACTTACCTTCTCTGTTCATCGTCCAGGGCAAATCTATAGACCATGGAACAGATGAAATACAGGAAGCAGTAGACCAGAGTATCAGGCCAAACCAGCTTGTAAAGACTGCCTTTCCATCTGTTGGGGAAAAGAGGCATAATTGTCTTTGTCTCTGCAATGTAAGTGTGATGTTTTGAGTGTTTATGAGGGTTGAGTGTAAGTGTAATGTTAGATATGACTAATATCTGTTGGATGTAAGTGTATTGTATGTTAGATATGGTTAAAAGCTGTTAGATATATATGCTATAGCTGTAATGTAATGTCTAATGTAACTGTACTATGTTGAATATGACTGTAATATACGTTATATAATATACGTTAGATATATCGGTAAAATATGTTGAATATAACTGCAATACATATGGCAAAACAAGCGTGTGAAAATTATAATACTAATTTTTTCTTCACTCATAGGGCATGGGAGTGAGGCAAATAGTAGGCCTACATAGCACTTTGATTAAAAAGAAAATATTTATATTGATTGCATCTCTTTTCCACGAATGAAGCAATTTCTCCCACCCATTGCGAGAAATTATTACATGTTTAGTTAGAGACTACAAATGAAGAATATTTCTTTTATTGTCATCTGTCTTTCTTCAGTTACGCTAAACCATTAAATCACCTAATACCAAACACGTAATCAAATCATTTACCTGAATAGCAGCACCCAAATACCATTATCAATATATCTTCTCCACACGTTATAAACCACGTGATCAACCCATATAACCACTTAATTAATCAATCCAATCAATCTACCTGAACAGAACCTCCACCCACCAAAATTTGCTCCCAACCCGTTATCAACCAAATCTAACTCAATTACCTAACATACCTGAACAGAAAACTTCAACCACCACCACCAAGATACATTCCCAACTTGTCATTGATCCCACAATTAATTAAATTAACTCCTTTACCTGAACAGAAGCCTCCAAAACGACCCGAAGCCCTTGCAGTCGGAAACCTTATGCGTGTAAGTGATGGTCATGTTGAAACCACTTTCTTTAGGGAGAATCTTCAAGCTTTTAAATTCCTTTTATCTGGACGACGATGGAGAGTAGCCCTGGGATGGAGAGATAAATGAGTGATTGAATTGATGGATAGATGGATAGGGAAAAAAATAGTGATGGATGGATAAAGAAAGAAGTGATAACAGATGGATAGAGAAAGAAATGAGGATGGATGGATAGTGAAAGAAATAAGGATGGATGGATAGATGGATAGAGAAAGAAATGATGATGGATAGAGAAAGAAATGATGATGGATGGATGGACAAATAAACAAATGATTGAATTGATTGATAGATGGATAGGGAAAGAAATGATGATGGGTGGATAGATAGATGGATAAAGAAAGAATTGATAGATAGACGGAGAGAGAAAGAAATGATGATCGATGGATAGGGAAAGATAGATAGATGGATGGAGAAATAAACAAATGATTGAATTGATAGATAGATGGATAGGGAAAGAAATGATGATAAATGGATAGATAGATGGATAAAGAAAGAATTGATAATAGATGGATAGAGAAAGAAACGGTGATGGATGGATAAATAGATGGATAGAGAAAGAAAGGATGATAGATGGATGAACAGATGAATTGATAAAATAATGGCGATGGATGGAAAGTTAGATGGATAGAGAAAGAAATGGTGATGGACGGATAGATAGATGGATAAAGAAAAAAATGATAATAGATGGATAGATAGATGGGTAAAGAAAGAATTGATAACATATGGATATATAGATGGATAAAGAAATATGAGATGATAGAGGAGTTAATTTGATTAGAGAAATATATGATGACAGATAAAAAAACAAGCAAATAAGTGAATAAATAAATAAATTAACTAATAAAGACGGATATTTTGATAAATTGACAGGTAGATTAATAATGAAATATATGATTATAGATAAACAGTCAAATAGATAAAGAAATATTTGATGATAGATAATCAAACAGATTAATAAGCAAATAAATAATTGTACGTGTCTGCGTATGTGTTGTATGGAATTTACTAGAAATAGATCATAGATATAGATGATAGTGATAAGGTTGCAAAGGATAATGAATAACAGTAATAAAATGCCAATGATAATGATAACGATGCCCATGATAGCAATGACAATGATAATTATACTGATGGTGATGATAATAATGACAGTGATGTTGAATTGGTGATGTTATTATTGATAGCAATAGGGTATTGTGGTAATGATGAAGATAATAGTAACAGCAGTAAAAATAATGATAATGATGATGATGAAGATAATGATAATAATAGCAATAATAATTATTATAACTATAATAACGATAGTAAGAAAACATGATAAAATCAGTGATGATGATGGTGATAGTAATAATGATGATGATGCATATAATGATAGTGGTGACAATGATAATAATAATAACAATGGCAATGATAATGATAATATGAAATTAATAACAATAATGATAATGACACAAAAAAATATAGTAATAAAAACAAACAGTAGCGGTGATGCGAGGGTGATAAAGACGATAATGAAATGAAAAAAAAAATGAAGAGAGATTTTAGGTTTCTTGAAGGTGACATCAGCGACAATCATCCTAATTACTCATAATCACCCACACCTTTAAAATTATCCCTCAGGTGCTTAAAAAAAACGGACCTAAATCCACAAAATTGATGCCTTAATGCCAGCCTTTCAAGAGAGAAAAAATCACGGCCTTAAAAAAAAAAAAAAAAAAAAAAAAAAAAAAGGATTTCAAAAAAGTAAATTAATTGCAATTCGCTTTTCGGTCTAATTACGGTCATTTTCGTCGCGGAAGTTTACGTAAAATGACCGCGGATTTTTTCTGGCCGTTCAGTTGCTAAGGAGATTGACGCGTTGTAACGAACCGGCGTGAATCAGCGTTCGAGCCAAGGTGGAAATTTCGTTGAAGTATCGCACTGAAGAAACATTTCGTAGAATAATGCTATTTGAATAGATTTCGTAGAATAATGACAGTGAATAGATTTCTTTGAATAATGATATTTCAAAAGATTTCTTTGAATACTAACAGTGATATATTTCGTTGAATAATGCTCCTGAATAGATTTCGTTGCATAATCGTAATTAATAATTATTTCGTAGAATAATGATGTTGAATAGATATCTATATACTAAGTATTTGTATATCCGAATGGTTGGCTATCTTGAATTAATGTTTTTTTTGTAGAATGATCGTATTGAAACCATATTTCGTAGAATATTTGTACTTAATGAATATTTCGTAGAATATTTGTACTTAATGAATATTTCGTAGAATTATTATCGTGAATATATCGTAGATTAATTATATCTATTAAAATATTTCGTAGAAAAATCATAGTGAAAAACATCATAGATTAATCATACTGAATTAATATTTCGTAGATTAATTACCTGGAATAGATATTTCGTAGACTTATCGTACTGAATTAATCTTTCGTAGAATAATGATATTAAAAATTTCGTTGATTGATCATATTGAATTAATATTTCGCAGATATGTAAGACGTAATGAAAAAAATCTAATCCACGTAGCATGAGCTCATAATTTGCAATATTGCTTGATAGAGACGTTTTTATTGGTTTCAATAGTCTTATCATTATCATTTCATCTGTTTACCTTTCTGAATATTTCTTTTAATTTGTTTTTCCTTTATCTATTAATTTATTTCATATTTCGCTTTGATATTTCTTTTTCCTTAGTAATTTAAGTTTTCCAATTTTCTGTTATGTGTCCTCTTCGTCGCGCACTTTATTGTGATCAAAAGTATTGTGGATTTTAGTTTATGATACAGGATGAAATTATATATATATATACCTATCTCTCTCTCTCTCTCTCTCTCTCTCTCTCTCTCTCTCTCTCTCTCTCTCTCTCTCTCTCTCTCTCTCTCTCTCTCTCTCTCTCTCACCATTAACTTCATCATTATTACCAGTACTTCCTACCAGCCGAGACAGAAACTTGTGGAAGTCTACGGATAATTTATGAACATTTCGCGTGTTACTGAGGCAAGAGTGAACTTTGACACAAATTTCCATTGATCCATAGACAAGTAGGTCGACAGAGAGACATAGTAGATATACATAGATAGACTTATAGAAAAGCAGATGGCTTATATGTATGTACGGAGATATATATAGACTGGTAGATGGCTATTAGCAGATATCAGAAGGAATAGATGGATATATATTGAGTATATATATATATACATACATATACATGCATGTACACACACACACACACACACACACACACACACACACACACACACACACACACACACAGAAAGAGAGAGAAAGAGAGAGAAACAGAGAGAGAGAGAGAAAGAGAAAGAGAAAGAGAGAGAATGAGAGAGAGAGAGAGAGAGAAAGAAAGAGAGAGAAAGAGAGAGAAAGAGAGAGAGAGAGAGAAAGAGAAAGAGAGAGAATGAGAGAGAGAGAGAGAGAGAGAGAGAGAGAGAGAGAGAGAGAGAGAGAGAGAGACAGGCACACAGACGCAAGGACAGCCTGACCGATAGCAAGACAGGCAGACAGATATACCTGCATCAGAATGAATAGATGCAGATAAACGTAAGAATAAACGAAAGTAGATGTAAAGGCAAATGCATAAACTTTACAAAAGCATAATAAAAGTATAAATAAATGTATGAAGTCATAGTGATAGGGAATACAGCTTTACACATCATTATTATTATTATCATTATAAATCCAGACGATCAAAAAGTTTTCAAACTTATTTCCTGTCGGTTATTTA